AAGCACGCTGGCATGTTATCAATATCGCAGTCAATCAAATCAAGTCAATCAATGTGTCAATGAGTCTTGCATATGCAAAATCCATAGTCAATGAATCAAAAGTCTGCACAGCGAGGAGAAATCAAATCAAAGTCAATGCAGTGACGGAAATCATTACATCAATAATCAAAGCCACAGCCCGGTAAAACATCGATAAATCATACTCGCAATCTCAGCAATAAATCAGATGTGCTTTCCCAATCAATATCCATCCATCTAGCAATGTCCATGCAATCAATACTATACATTCTAATCAATCGTTGCCGTCTAGTCAATTCGTGTGTTACTATATCATCTGTCATATCAATAGGATGTCTGTGTCAATATAATAGCAATATAAAGCACAATTAATTCAATAAAGGACTCGTGTCAGAACGTACTCTTGCAAATCAGTCAATCAATTATTCAATACTTTACGTCTTACTCATCAATAATATACAAATTCAATGACACTACAGGCAGATTCAATAATGACGACGTACATGCCATTACATACATGAGAAAAATCATCTCATCAATAGAGCACTTTCCAGTCAATCAATTATATTCTCTCTAGCAGAAAATCTATAGAACGATCGAATCAACTCAATAAATCAAGCCTAGCAATCTGAAAACAAATCTATACAATGAATCATCAGGTCAATAGATAAATCAAATCAATACAATCGGCATAATACAAGTGAAAACGAGGGTTCTCCTCGGAGACTTTTTACTGCATGCTTCTTGATTCTGCGGGCAGCCTGCTGGGATATTAACATTGACGAAACGGACCGGAGGAAGGAGGGTGCGGTAATGTTTGAACGTTTAGGCGGCCTCCAAAATCCAGCTTTCCTCTTTTTCCCTTTCTCTTTCTCTCTCTAAAATCAGATATTTTGATTTAAAAATGAAATGATCTCTCCTCAAAACGAGCTGATTTTTTTATATCATTAGGCTGATCGGCCCGGCCGATCGCCAAATCGTCCCGGGACGATCAGACCAAAATCGATCGTCCTGGACGGTTCCCAGAACTAGTTTCAGGCCGATATTTTGAACAGTACAGATCGGCCTGGACGATCTCACTATCGTCCCGGACGATCCTGGGAGGAAAATCCAAGTCAGAGAGGAACAGTAAGGGAACGAGGTCTCACATCCAATGTGCTCCGATTTGCCAAAGCTCCCTCCACTCACCGCTGCTTCTCCCGCATGTCTTCCTCCGACTTCTCTCCATTTCTCCCGATTAAGATTAGGATTCCTAGTTAAATAAGGTCTGCGATCACCAGCCTCTTCCGAAGCGGCGCCTTCCCTCCGCATCTTTACCGACGCCGACTCACGTGGTCTTCTCGCCTGCGGCACCGGCGTCGGTGTCTCCATCTTCGCCAACAAGTTACCTTGCATCTATGCATCCACGGGTACCTCCGTTGCCGATGCCGTGAATACCCGATCCTTCAACAGTTGCAACGTTCTCTGCGTATCCAGCATGTCCACCTTGCCGGAAGCTTTAGATAGACCCTGAAGGATTTGCTCGAGCTTTGGAGAAAATGCCTCTGATTATTAGTCTTTCTCAGAATGTTATTATGAAGCCGGTGGATTTCCTCAGTGGTAGAGCCATTCCTGATGAGGATGTTGCCAGGATGATTGTGAGGTGTCCCCAACTGCTTGCATGTTCCAAACTTTTGCTCTTTAAGCATTACGTTGATATAATTTTAAAAAAAAGATCAATCAAAACATATTTTTATTATTATGAAAAAATGTTTTATTATAAAATAATAATCGAGAATCTAAAAAAACTTTTTAGATTGATAGCCATAACTACTTTTCTATGTTGTGTAATCAAACTTTCTCCTGGAATTATCTTTCAATTTTTGCAGAAGGATTTCTTTTTCTTTTTAAATAAGGAAATCATGATGCCTCCATTTATAGATGTAATTTAGTGATCTTATTTCTTACAGTGTGTTTGCTATTTCAAAATCATGCAAATTAGTATTTTTATCTCTCCCATTGCAGTACCATGAAATTAGTATTTTTGTTTCTCCCATTGCATATCTCATATTCCTTATCCACCATGAATTATTTCATAGTCCATCTTGCTAAAATCTTATATGTAATTTGACTCATTTCTAGTAATTTATCCTCTATTCTCCAAGTATATATTATAATATTTCTTCTATCTCTTTTCAAATTTGATTTTTCAAACCATCTTTTAATTCAAGTTATGGAGCTTAGCATTATTTGCATTTATGATGACATCACAAATAATTAACTTAAAAACATTCACTAAGTCCTTACTTGAATAGGTTTATGTTCTAAATCTTTATCCACTTCTAATCATCATTTCTATTTTTAAGTTTTCTCACGTATTATAACTTACAACTTACAATTTTCTCTTACGTCATTGGATTTTCTCTTTCCATTTGATCTATTGCATACAGGGATTATTTTTCTTCTAATTATATATCCACCAATTCTTATATCTTCCCATTCAAAGTGATAAAATTTCATATAATTAATCTAATCTTAGTTTTAAACCTCGATATTTTTTTCTCACTTTTCACTAGTACTAGGTTAAGTTGTGTGTTACTTGCTGGAGATGACCCAGCCAACCTTTACTTTTCACCATATTCAGATTAAGCTGTAATGTGTCATTTACGGTTGATGTTTTAGGAATTTTTTTGCCTATTGGCAGGTTGTGTTTGGCGAACTCCTCAGAACTAGCAAAATTAAAAAATAAATTTATATCATTAATCTTGATATCAATTTTACAAATGTCTATCTAAAATCAGTATTAAATCTCTCATCTCTGACCAGAGATTGAAAATGACTACTTTTGCTCAGAGCTTTATACTGAACAAATGGAGCATATATACATGATATAGTTTGCTGGCGCTCAATTTTTGAAATGATTTCATAAATTTGTTTTTATAAGTGTAATGTATTATGCATAATATGGCTAAAACGTTTGACTTTCTTTGAGCCATCATGACTGAAATGCATCTTAGGACAATATTAATTGTGTTTAATTTAAGAAAGTTGAACTTTTCCCTCATCTTTAGCAAGAGTATTTTTGACTGGAATGCCATATCCAATGCAAAGTTTGCTCATATGCTATTAATTTGCAAAGAGCAATTGCACATATGACTCAAGCTTTTAACATTTCATCTTATTTATTGACATCCTAACACACTGGAAAATAGCATTTTTGTTCTGGTATTGAGATTAAACTTGAAGATCGACTTTTTAAAGTTAACTTAAATTTGTTTTCTTTGTAGGTTTATGCCATCGATTTTGGTCTTGCCAAGAAATATAGAGATCTTCAAACTCATAAGCACATACCATACCGGTAACTTCTTGGTTTATAATTTGTTTGTGATGCGTATGCATTTTAATTTTTTCAGTACTACCAGAGATTCATTGTTAACCACAATTGCTGTATTACTTATTATTATTTTTTTATCGGAAGGGGTGGGGGTGGTTTGTACGAGTGAGAGAGATAGAGAGAGTGATTGTACCTTGTTTGACCTTTAGTATTGCAACTTGCTTGTGCATATAGGAATTTTGGGAGATAAGAGGGAATAGGTGGGGTTTCAAAATATATTAATAGTAAGAAATGTTCTTTTTAAAAAAAGATTAAAAACAATGCCCTTGAGACGTAATAAATTTAAACTGAATGTTACTAATGATTTCTACAATAATTTGAGTAATAAATAGGAGAAACAAGATAATGAAATATTTAAGATGAGGAAAAGGAGATTAAGATAATACTATATGATGACTATATGGATGCTTTGATCAAACTAAGATGATAAAGGTTAAGGGTTGATTTTAGGTCAATAGCTGAAGTATCAAATATAACTTTATTCCAAAATTCATGAATTAAATAAAAATTGGATTTTTTGTTAGTGCTAGGTTGTTCCTCGGAAGTGATGTCCCACAACCTAACTCAATTTTTGTGAGAACTAGTAAGAATTTACTAGGACTTACTACACAGGTGTCACAATCTGACTCAACTTGATTGCGATAAAAAAATAGATGAGTTTGTTGGGCATCACGCTAAAATGGCATCATATAAATTTATCCAATTTTGACAAAAATAGGCAACAATTGATTGGTCATCAAATATGTTTTTATATGGAATTTAGTGAATTTGGATGGGAATACAATAAATATAGTGGGCACAAAGATTATAGGAAGAATAATTATTGCATGTTTACAAGAAGCTACACTGAAAGGAGAAAACATTCATGGGAATTGGGAAGTTGTATGTTGAAATGGGGTAGGGTAAGTATTGCACAGAGAGCTGAAAGATAAGTTTAGTGATGTAAATGGAGTTAGTTGTGTAGAAGGATTACTATAAATTTATTACAATGAGAGTATTATAAATATGACTAATACTTATGCTCCTCAAAATGGATTAGAAGATAATTATAAAACTAATTTTTGGAATGTATGCATGTGTAAGAAAGAATAATTATTGTAAGGAACTTAAATTACCCTATAGTTTCTTGTCGAATGGGCTATGAGAGGATTCATTGTAGGTGTAAAATAGAAGAAAAATGTTTCAATTGGAGAAACTATAGATTTTATGATAACAAGTGCCCCTGAACTCATCAACACTAGCTTGAAACTACTTAGCTGCTTTTGTAAGTGGACCATTATATCACAAATAGATTTTTTTTCTTACTTGCAAGGTATTAAAGTCTTTTTGCAAGGGTTTTATGGTTATTTCAAGAGAAAATTTGACCATATAATATATATTAGCAGTCATGGATTTATGTCGTAAGGAGAAAATGACCAAACTGGTCCCTCAACTCTTTATGAGGGACCAATTTGGTCCCTCAACGCCTTAAAATAGTGCCTATTTGGTCCTATTGTTAACTTTTAACAATAAATTTGGATACGCCGAACACACTGAGGGGATATAATCGAAAAAAATTTGCATAAGCTTTTCATTATATACAGAAGTGAATTGTTCGAACCCTTTAGCAGTGTTGAAACCCCAGCCACACAGGACTCCCACGTCTTGTAGCGTGGCCTGCGTGAACAACATCTTCAACTCAGTGTCCTGCAGCGCATGTTAAACGCAGTTCGACCCTAGCACCCTGCGCACTCGTCGACTACCACTCCTGCAACCCTCGCAAGAGTTCGAAGCCAAACTGGATTTGAGTGCCCCGTAAATCTCACAACGGAATAAATCCTCCCTTTCCCTCTTCTTGCTGCTCCTATTGTAACTTCCGTTCTGACGTCGCCGAAGGAGATGAAGAAGCTTATTTAGCGACCCTCTCAAAAACTACTTCAACCCGTCAAACTTCATTTCACGCGAAGCGCTTGAGGCTGAAGCAGCCATGAAGAAATGGCGAGGAGGAAAAAGAAAAATGGAGAAGATGAAAGCAAACCCTAGATTAATGAGATAATTAGTAATAATTAAATCATTAGTATGAGTATTAGTAAAATGATTAGTTATTTACTTATTTTAAAAAATAACTATTTAATTAAATATTTATTAATATAAGTAAATATAAAATTAATAAATAAATTATTTAACAATTAAGCTAATTTCTAATTAAATTATTTATCATTATAACTTGTTGACTAAAATTAAAATTAAAATAATAAGTAACCAATACTTAACATGCAATTAAATTAATAAAACATTAAATTTAATTTTAGTTATAGTCAACAGTCGTCTCGCAGTACTGTTATTAAGCTTCATGGCTTTGTTGGTTTCGACGCTCTATTTGGATTGTTTATAGGTGGAAATGATTAGAAATCTTGAAATTAAAGAAAAGTTTAATAAAAATTTTTACAAAAATTATAATTCCTAAAAAATTATATTTATTAAATATTTTAATTAAAAATGATTAAATTATCCTTATACTTAACACCTCAACTTTATCATTAGATGGCAAGACCGAATAGTTTCCATTTGGAGGTGCTGAATTGGTCCCTCAAAAGAGTTGGTGTCTATTTTGGTTTCTCACAAAGATTTGAGGGACCATTTTGATCCTTTTTTCATATCGTAAGGGGTGTTAAGAAGATGATCAAGGAAATAATTAATCTTAGGATAAAATTGTGGAGTTTGAAAGGTGACTTATTTATAATCAATTTAAGTTAAATGTCCGTGCTCGATGTGATAACTAAATGATTTATATGGTTGTTTGAGTACTAAACAATGGAGAAAAATGAAATAACAAATTAGTTACGATGAGAACAAGGAGATTAAAATAATACTATTTGCTTTAATACAGATGTTTATACAAACCCATATGATAAAAGGTTGAGGGCCAAGCATAAAATTTATTCAAAAATTCATCAATATATATAAAAATTGAATTCATGTTAGTGCTAGGGCATCCTCAGAAGTGATTGTCTGCAACCTAACTCAATTGTTGTGAGAATTTGCTAGTACATGCCACTCACTCATAAGCTACGCGACTCAAGTATTGTGATGTGTCTGTTTACTTGTGAGGAAGTCAAAAGAGGAAGACAAGCCACTCATAGTTGGCTACGATCAAGAGAATATGAGGATTTCCTACATAGAAGTGTTGGATGGCCGAGAACAAATATTCACTATTGGCTTTGGTTCTCATAAATAAGAGAATTGGAGGTATTATAGTTGCATCAAAATAGGAGATGGAAGAGGAGAAAAGAGTCGGTTAGTAGCACTCGTGGGTTTTCGTGAACAAAAATAGGAATTGGGATCACATGTAAGCATTATAATGAGCAAGCAATTAAAAATTTTTGTAGCATATGTAGAGGATAAAATACAGGATTGAGGTGCGGGCATGAAAACAGACACAACTAAATGTGAAAATAGAAGCATCATAGATGCATGGACGCAGGGACACAAGTGGTTTGGTGCAAATGCAGCGATTTCAATTAGTGCAGTTGCACATAATCAGACCTTGCTTTGGGATGCAATCTGAAATTGATGTGGAGATGTGGGAAAGTAGATTGATGTGAAGGACACCGGATTTGATACCAAATGATGTATAGTTGGGGCAGCATAAAGAAGAAAGACAATTCGAAGTCCACTAGTTAGAAGGGAGTGAGAGGAGAGATAATAGAAGATGAAGCTTTAATTTTATTCATTCAATCAATAAATCTAATATAAACCTTAAACTCTTTTTTATAAAAAAAGGTTACTAAATGATTTGAAATTATATCAAATTAAGGCTTAGTTTGGTTTTTGTTTTCTACATGACTTTATTGTAGGAAAATCAACCAACAATAATTGGGGTTGTGCGGATGAATAAAAAGAACCAGATAGTTGTTTTCCTTCTTTTTTTTTCTCAAATTTTTCTTCAAAATTTTATTTTTTGGAAAATAAGATATACATTGTTGCTCAACTTTAAAAAAAATTAACGGTATAATTAAAAGTCACATGACATACCAAATGTTGCCTAAATTTAACCCTAAATAATTTAAATTTAAACCTAAAATTATACAAAATGGAAATTCATGCTAATAAATCCAATAATTCTCCTAAAACGAAAATAAGTATTAAAATAAGATATTTGTTGATATTTAGATAGTTATAAGTGATTTGATAGCGGGTTTGGTTAACAAGTTTATTTAAAGGAAAATTGAAGTCGTAAGATGATGCAAAATTTTTTAGAATGCTCTTTTGTGAAAATATTTAAGAACAACGCAAATGTTCAGGGTTGTGTTAATTTTAAAGGAATTAAATAATACAATGATTCAACGGTGTTGACAAAGTAATGGAGCATAATTTAAGAAAATTACATCAGTAATGGAGAATCAATTTGATTTTATGCCATGAAGATCTATTTTGGAAGTAATATTTATGCTAAAGCAATTAATGCAAAATCACCGATAGCAAAGTAATGATATTCATATGATTTTTTTTAAAATCTTAAAAGGGCATATGATTGAGTACCATGAGAATTGATTTAGTGAATATTGAAAAAATAAATTTGGAAGGTATATTGAAATTATTCATTATTCATATGAAGAAGCAGGGTCATTAATTGGTTACACAAGAGCTCCAGTCATAGTAGCATTAAAACATGGATCATCATTAAATCTATTACTTGTATTAATTATGGTGATGCAACCAGGTAGGATACTCAAGGTGGCGTGCTTTATTGTATATTTTTTAATAGATTACACCGTTCAACCAGCTTGGCATTTACTAAAATCTTGGTTAATAAGAGTTCCATTTAATTATGTATCGATGCAATTTGCTCGGGCTGCTTATATATATATATATATATATATATATATATATATATATATATATATATAATACTAAAAAAATAATAATTATAATGATGTGAAAATTGATAAGAACTAAAGCAAATTGTTAGAAAGAGATATTATGGGTTGCTAAAATTTTCAAAAATCAACTATGGAAAATATTTCAGTGGAACATAGCTAAATACTTTAAATTACGAACTAGCAGAGATAAAAAGTATTATATCGAACATATAGGGAATATTTTATCAGGGAAATTTAAAAGTAGAATTTTCCTTTTACTCTTTGAAAGTTTTATTTTGTAATCAACCTTTGTTGGCTTACCTGAATTATCATCGGGACTTGACTTTACAAATCTAGGGCTGTCCAGACATGCAAGCCATTTTTTTAGTATAATTTCTTTCATCGTCTAACTTTATGTGTATAACTCTATTGAATCTTAGTTTAGGTTCTATATTGCATGCGATCCCATCATTTTGAGTAAATTTCAAATAAGAAATCCTTTTCTTGATTTAATTGGGCTATATGCTAGTTAGTTTTGGAACAAATAAAAAGTAAATGGGTATTCTGAAGTTAATGTCACTTGAAGTTGTGCAATATAGAATATAGTTACTCATGCAATGCATAAAAATAATGATCGAAAATAGTGCTGCATAAAGCAAGACTCATTTAATTAGAAGGGAGCAAAAAAAAAAAACAGGTTAATTGTAAGCTTTAGCTAGATTTGACTGGTTTGACAGGTTGGCCGGCTTGGATTTGACCTACTTTTTAAACTTGTTAGATCTGATCCAACTGATTTATGGTTACTCCAGTTCTTATTGTTATCCAAATCATAGAGGAGCAGATTCCAAGTTTGACTGCCTGATTTGTTCTCATGTATTTGTTTACATCGTTGCTCTATCATGCTATAGTTTTGTGAACATACATAAGTGGAACTTTCTGTTGACAACATCCTTGTGAGCCTTCTGTTCCGTTCTATCTTTTCTTATTTGAAGACTTACTTTATATGTGAAGTCATGATGGTTTTGCCTTTTCCAAAATTTTTTTCAAATTGTTCTTTTGCTAAAGATTTTATTTATTTATTTATTTCTTCTGCTAAAGATTTGGTTAGTCTGACAGGGAGAACAAGAATCTCACTGGAACAGCACGGTATGCTAGCGTGAATACTCATCTTGGTGTTGGTACGTTCCTCATGTTTCAAGTATATTTAACCATTTCATAACCCACCTTAGATTGGAGAAAAAAGTAACATTAATGTATATCTTGTAGAACAAAGCAGAAGGGATGATCTAGAATCTCTTGGTTATGTGTTCATGTATTTTTTGAGGGGAAGGTTAGATTCTTCTAAACTTTTCATTTAGTTTGTTCTCGTAGTTCGTTATTTTTTGGGGGCATCAGCAGAACAACGTCATCATCATAATGCCTCAATATCTTCAAGAGGAAGGGCATGACTGTTTTTTATCAGTCTTCCATGGCAGGGGTTGAAAGCCGGAACAAAGAAGCAAAAATATGATAAGATTAGTGAAAAGAAAATGTTAACTCCAGTAGAGGTATGCAATGCTAAGCCCCATTCATTTTCATGCATAATATCTCATTTTTTGAAAATGCTGGGAGTATTCCTATCAAATTTACGTAGCATTACGGGAGGTTGCCGGCCCATCAATGGTGAAGGCAGAAAGGTCATCAGGTTTGTAATGAGTACCAATAAGTTTTCTGCTATTTTCAGCATCCTTTATTCAGTTATGCACCTGCAAGAGTTGATTGTTAGTAAATTTCATTTTCAGTTGGCCAAGAAATTCATGATAGATTCGCAGGTGCCGTGGAAGCATTCGCTAGAAGAACTGGTTCAGCTGCTGCTCATCATGGTGAGCATTCCAAGCACAAAACTCTAGATGATGCACCACTGCCATCCAAACAAACTGTAAGTTACTCCTAATGCAGTTTCTCACCTTGTCCTACCACACTGCACCTAGACCCGGAGCCTTGAGCAGTTTTTTATGCATGGTGTATCTCAGTTTTTTTTTTTGAGAAACGGGGCGAACCCTAATTAAATTAAAGTAAAAATTACTAAGTGATAAAAAGTTTGAGTGATTAGAGATGAATAGAAGTTAACTACAAAGAGATAGATAGGAAAACAATAGAAAAGAGTTGAATTGGACAAGAAGCCAAGCGACAATTGTCTAGGCGATATTAATCATTTTCTTTCCATAAGAATTATGAATATAAAAGAAAGCTAGATGAATAATTGTGAATTAAAAGCATTATACTCTTTTTTTTGTATTACAAAAATATTTAGTATTTCTCATAGTCCAAAATGATAGCAGGTGCATTAAAGGACATCTCGAAGTTCTGTAATTTTTTTTCAAGGAAGTATTTTTCTGAGAGTTGAAAGGTTTTTATCCAAATTCACAATAGGCAACATTATATTAAAATGATTCCAAATGTTAGATATATAAGCACACCTGAAAAAAAGTATGGAAACCATCCTCCTGCAAGTCCATATTTGGGTCACAAAAAGCATAATTGATGACCCTTTTAGGAAAGAGATAATTTGTAAGGAATTTGTATCATGAAATAAACTAGAGGAGCGCATTCGATCTTAAGTGGAGCAATATATTTTCAAATTCAAGAAGTACATGGAATAAGGATGCTTCCGTTAATAAGAAAAGAGTAGAAAGAGATGACAGAGAATATTATAGGTGATGTCTAGAGTGAGATGTCATGGTGAAGATTTGGCTTTAAGATGAGTGATATGAGTGAGAAAGAGTTCCCAGCAGCCATTTAAATAAAATGGAATGATGCTTCTCCAAAATCCATATCACTCTATAAATTGAATACATGGTTTAAAATTGTGCAATTAGAGGCCCGCCTCAAGGCTCTCACCTCAATGCAATTTTAAAAAAGAAGGGACAATGAGACATGCCTTATGCTTGCTAGATGAGGCTTACACCTTAGTATTGTGATGCATGCCTCAATGCAAGCCTCAACACTATTTTTATGTAATTTTGAAGAGGCAAAAGCTTTGAAAATTAAGGTTTAAGAAATATATATAATCATATTTACTAAACCTAAATAAAACCTAACTTGAGAAGAACCACACAACCTCAAAATCATGATCGCAGAACCCTGTCGCCTGCCCTCTTTCCTGTTGTTTTACCCCTGCTATTGCATCATAGCTGCTTCTCCTCCAACACCTCTACTCTTGTTATTGGGAACTCATCTCCTTATTTTCAGTATGAGGAAGGAGAGAAAGCAATTAACTGCAATGATGATTCTAATGTAGATCCTCTAAGTGATGTGAGTGGGGGTGACTTATGAATTCATTAATTATGACCTAATACTACTTGTTTATATTAAATTTTATGAACTCCGCTGGAAACCACATATCTATTTATATATATTATTTCATTATGTCTAATCTCTGCACTTTAAAAGTGTGGGGTGATGTATCAACTTCTGATTACCAACCATTTTCTTTCATTTGAGCAGAATGGAACTACAAAATACTCCTTTTACTGTCCAACTGGGACGCGGCGCTAGCATTTAGCTAGCCAATGCCATCATCAACACTGGAGACTCTGAAGCCACCATCTGATTTGGTAGCTTAGGGTTTTCTGCAGCTACTGCAAAGGCTGCCGCCGTACGCCGTACCTATTCTCAGCGTAACTGTTCAAGGCCATGCTACAAAGCCTGATTCTGCTGAAATTTATGAACAACGTGCTTATTCCGTGCAACAACCACGAGCTGCTAGAGTTGGTACTGCCAAAGTAGTTCAACAAAATAGGACCTAGGTTTTCGAGAGGCTCTCACATTCTGAAGTTTTACTGTGAAGAGGGATGATGTTAAGCAAAAGACTTTGACGATCTTATCAAGCGTCATCACACTACAAACTGAGCCTTTCGTATCAAGAAGATATGATCATGAAGCTTCCTCATATGGAGGAAGATTATCCATAAGACAGAAAAAAAGTCAATGTTGAATTATGAGCCCAAATACCACTACCGGTGCATCTGTCAACACTCCCAACCTTGGAGCCAGAAGTTAACGTTCCCACCTAGAATTAGTTTTGAAATCTAAAATGGGTTAAATGAAATAGCTCTACTGGCGAGTTAAAACATTCTTTCTAGGAACAACAACAACAAACTCCTATTCCTCAAAAGAAGAAGCACGAAACTTTGTCTGCCAGGGTATACAGAGTTCTGAAAGTGGCAAAAAAAAAAAGGCTTGATGAAGAAGAGATATCAAAGGCCATTAGCAAATAAGGCCACGATAATCCTACCAAGAGAGTTACTATCTGCTACGGTAACTCAGAAATCAAAATTAACTCTACGCGATGAACATTGTAGCGTGAAACCTGGACCTCGCGTTCAGGAATCTACTTACAAAAGATCCCGGTGAAAGGGTAAAGAAATTTGGAGGTCGAGACATCTTGAAAGAAGATTACTGGAGAAGAAAGTCAGTATAGGTGTGACATCTGGTACATGCTTCCAGAGATCTGCCTTTGATAATAAACGTCAACAATGGGTACCCAAGAAAAAGATTCCTATTATTGACACTTGCAAAATTAATACCTTGGTGAATCTTTCAAAGAATCTTATTGGCAACCAACTTTATCTTCACAGAAGAAGGTCAATTTTGACCATACTCCTCCAATCGAAGAACTTTCTATACCGCATCTAGAGCTAGAAATCTATTGGAAGTGTCGCTCTGAGATTCGTGTACAAGAAAATGATGATGATGAATACACCATGGAAGTTGAGATAGTTTACATGGTGGGGCATGGTGATGAGCCGCCTCCATCACGTGGCTACTAACGAAGCAACGAAGGGGGGCCTACTTCTTCCAAAACAACAACCCCTTAAGAAGAGCAAGCTTAGTATGAACAATTAGAAGTTCCCTCAGATGAGGAACAAAATGATGATCAAGAAGAAGAAGAGGTTGCTAAGACACTAGCACAAGTACAAAGGCTTATAAAATGCAAGATGAAATAAAAAGATAAAGAGATATCATAGCTGAATAACAAGATGACAGAAATGATATCACAGATGACTACGATGGTGCAGTTAATGCAAAAGAACATCACTACTAATCTTGCACTTGCTCAGCCAGTTGATCATCAGACATCGAGTCAGCCAATTAATCATCAGATCGAGTAATATTCCTACTAATCTGCCAACCAACCTAATACCCCAGGTGTTTGGACTATGAGCCATACATGAAAAAGGAAATGAAGCTGATTGACTTATTCATATGCAAAATCATCAAAATGTTGCAAGTACATCTGAGCTGGTGATGACTCACAGCTTGAATCAATCATCAATGAAAAGATTAAAACTGTCATTACCTCAGATCAAGTAGAGAAATTTGTGAGCAAGGGTCACTGATATCCAGCTGAATACGATCAGCTGTCATAACCTAAAGGTATTCGGTGCCTAAGTTCAACATTTTTAATTGCAATGGCAACCTTAAACAACACTTGGCCCAATTTAAAGTAACTTGTGGAAATACTAGAGGTATTGATGCTTTACTCTTTTATCAATTCATTAGTAGTTTGACTGTGATTGCTTTCGAATGTTATATCGAACTTCCTAATAATTCTGTTAAGACATTTGTAGAACTGGAAAATATGTTCGTGAAAAGTTTCGCAGTGCTATTGAAAATGCTATTGTTGCTGACATTGCCTTAGAAAAATGAAAAAAGGGTGAGTCAGTATCAAAGTGCATCACTCGCGGGCACAAGATGAGTATGAAATACGAACAACATTTGGAAGAGAAGCATGCCGTTCAGCTGCTAATGGGGCACATTGATGATAAGATGTTACCATTTTTATGCATGACCTCAATCAACACTTATTTGGAGCTATTAGATAGAGTTGCTAAGTTTGAAAAGTTGAATATCATTCAGATAGACCCCAAAAAAATAAGCTTATCGACACTAGAAGGGATGAGATATATTCTGCATCATATTTAAGAATTGATAAGGAAAATCAACCTTCTTATAAAGATGATAAAGGAAAGCAGTATGTGAATCCTAATCTCAGTCAAAATTAGTATTGGGAGAAAACAACAAGTCTCAGACTTTTTGTAATGGTGAAGAACAATTAATTTCAAGAATTAGTGGTCGTGCCACATCCCTTAAAGAGAAAATGAATAAAAAATATTCTTTTAAAAGAGAAAGTGTGGCAAAACTATTCGAACAAGCAATTAATGCTGGTCTTGAATTACCGGAGTGTAAAAGACTTGAATAAGATGATCAGAATGATAATCCAAGTTATTGCCCATATCACTAAGTTATCAGTCACCCTATTAAAGATTGTTATGTCTTTAAAATCTGGCTTGAAAAGAAATACAAAAAATATTTTGTAGTTACATTGATCCCTCCACAACATTTTAGAAAAATCGTATCCCGCGAAGTTCATAATGTTGAAGAGCTTAAACCATTTTATGTACCTCCCCTACGCGGAAGTAGCGGACATGGAAGCTTATTTTATAAATTTAGAGAATATTAATTGGATTGGGAATTTCAATGAAGAGATATAGATAATTCCTAAAGAAATGCCTAAATATTGTCTCAAAAGAATTCAACAAATGATATGAAAAATTGGAGTTCATAATATAGTTACTTGGCGATGAGCACATTTGTTTCAAATAATGTGGTTTCAAGAACTATCAAAGGTTGGAAGTGATGATACAAAAGACCTTGGATTTATCACAGCAGAACAAACTCAGAAAATTGTATGTTGTGCGATAATTGATAAATATTTGACTACTGAAGATACATATGAGAATGGAGAACAAGATATGGAAGCTAAACCTACACCAGAAGAACTTGAAGATGGTGGATAGGTCACTACCATGGATGAGCTGAAGGAAATAAACTTGGGAACATATGAGGACCCTCGCCCGACTTTTATTAGTGCTT